ACAAATGGATCGTTGGATGTGTTGGAAGTGATGACAATACCATTGTTTCGGCCACTGATTTGTTGTCTAATTGTTTCAAATCTTCATTTGACTTCATTTCTTATGAGACAAATGGCGGCCAATAATACCAAACATGTTTCAAATCTAGTCATCCATTCATAGATTCCGTTACACATTATTTTTGCACTCTTTTCAACACAAATAGATACTAAACATTATTTTCTATCAATAAAATGACATTTATTTTTATAAATTAACTTTCATTTGTTTTAATTAAATTGTGTTTTTAGTTATAATTTTTAAAAATAACATTTAATTTTACGCCAATATTTATAATGAAATTAATTGTACAAAATTAAATCGTAACGTAGTTTAAGAGTGACTCCAATGGAGACAACAAATCAAAACAAATTGTGAAATATTTGTTGAGTTTTTTGTCAATAAAATTGATTTAATGTTAAGAAATGTATAGAAAGTGAGAAACAATGGGTTTATTGAAAATAATCACAAAAATCAAACAAAAGGAGAAAGAAATACGAGTTTTGGTTTTGTATGCATTGATTGTCCATTCATTTGATCCATTCATACAATGATTGTATTAACTGTTTGTGTGGTTCAGAGGTCTCGACAATTCTGGCAAAACCACACTTTTGAAGCGTCTCAATGGCGAAGACGTGCACACAATATCACCCACTCTTGGATTCACTATCTCTACGTTTGAACACAACAAGTGAGTGACCATTGATTGTGGCATTGATTGTCTGATTGAGTCATTGATTGTTTGAATGGTTTGATAGCCTAAAGCTGAACGTGTGGGACGTCGGCGGACAGAAGAGTTTGCGTGCCTTTTGGCGCAATTACTTCGAGAGCACCGATGGTCTCATCTTTGTTGTCGACAGTTCCGACACGTTTCGCATCAATGACTCCAAACACGAACTCCAGAACCTCTTGAAAGAGGAGCGCCTTTTGGGCGCAACACTACTCGTGTTGGCCAACAAACAGGATCTGTCCGGTGCTGTCAGTTGCGAGACAATCAGGCATTTGTTGCAATTGGACTCAATTACTACACATCACTGGATGATAGTTGGCTGCAGTGCTTATTCCGGACTCAATCTCTTGTCTTCAATCGATTGGCTCTTAGAAGACGTCTCCTCAAGAATTTTCATCAATGATTGACTTATTTTTATATCAATTATTTATTTAACACTTTTTTTATTAAGATTTATGTTTTTTAAAATAAATTTAACGATTAATAATCAAACTCTTTGTTAATAATAAACGATACAAATATTGGCCTAAATTGAATAATACGCCGAAATAAAAGCAATTAATAATAAAATGGTAAATAACTC